TAAACTTCATCTTTGTGTATTTAAAAGTGAAATTAAGAACACTTAATAAGGAGTTAGAAACAACACTGAGCGAGCCTTCCCACCCTGCTGATGGCTTATCTCGATTTCTGGAAGCCCCCACTGGAAAGGCCTGACAATAATGACTTAATTAACGCCTGCACCGCATTTTTGATCTTCAAGGGGCTGGCCAGCTACCTCTGGATTAATTACCCACAACCAGGAAAGCTTCGCCCAGAGATAAAGGGAGCTGGGTTTTCGCCATTACAAATTGTTCTGGGATCCGCTCTGGCACCCGGGCAGAGGCCTGGATTTGGGCACCCAGCTGGCCCCCCTGCACAGCCAGGACCTGCTTGACCTGTTGCTGGCAGAGACTTGCAGCAGGGCAGCCATATCGGCTCCCCCAGTTGAAGATGGGCACTGACTGAATTTAGTGCAGGCCAGGGACCTATCACCAGCAAGGCCAAGTTTAGGGACAGAGCGGACCTCTCGGGAGGTTTCTGATGGGTGTTCATACTCCCGGAACAAATGTCACTGAAAACCCTGAGCGTTCATGAGACCCATAGGCCTGGAGTCACGGTGTCTGGACTTGGTTGCGACCTCACCCTGTCATCCCTACAGTGGGAAGGGTCTAAGTCCCAAATCAGGGTTGTCAAGTGCGGAGTGAATATGCAGAGAAAGTCAGCACAGTTCAAGCACCCAGTGTCAGCAGTCACTACGAATACATAGTGATGTCAGCAATAATTGAGCACCTACTGGTGCCAAGCTGAGGGGCACTGGGTCAGGTGACTGGAATGGGGCTGCAGGTGCACAGACCCTGGCTACAGGGTAATTTCTTTCCTTTTCTTTCCCTCCCGCCTTCCTTCTTTCCTTCCTCCCTCCCTCCCATCTCTCTTTTCTTCTTTCCATTCTTTTCTTGCGACAGGTCTGCTATGTAGCCAAGGCCGTCTCCAACTCACATGAAACCCAGGTGACCTCCAATTTCTGATCTTCTTGTCTCGGCCCCAGTGCTGGATTACAGTGTGTACCACTATGCAGGCGAGCATTTTCTGTTTTTTGGTGGTACTGGATTTGAACTCAGGGCTCACACTTTTAGGCAGTCGCTCCACCACTTGATGGAGGAGGTAGAGCTGCATGCTCGAAGTGTTTTCAGCTGGACTTCTCTAGGGCTAATCCACACTCCCTCCCTCACCCATGGCATGTACACTAGAGAACAGTAGAGAAACCCATTCTACTCTGAGCCTGGCCCAGCATTTGGATATATGTTGATTTTTCGGGGTGCCCGTGAAAAAGGCATTTGAAAACAACTGCTTTGTGAAATAACCCCACTGGCAAAACAAAAATGTATATTGTAACCAGTGATACAGGTGGCGGGCTCCCTCCTGCCCCGCCCTGCCCTGAGGAAAGGCCACCGCCCTGCCCAAGGGTCTCTGTCTACTCAGATCTACTCAGATTGGGGAGAGCAAATCCCCAAGTGGTAGGCAGGCCAGTCAGCCCGGCTGGCTGTGTGCCCTCTTCTCTCTGCCTATTTAGAGCATCTCACACCTTAATTATGGGCCCTCGGGCACGTCGGGGCGCGCCAGGGACAGGCCGGAAGCACCGGCTCCGGGGGCGACAGGACATCCGGGCGGCACCAGGTGCACTTTCTGGTCCCCGCTGCTTCGCCAGGACCCCTCCGGCTGACCTCCGGCGCCCACGGCCTCCGGGCTGGGGTGGGACCGTGTTGCGGGGCGCAGGTCCGGGTGGGGATGCCCCGCGGAGCCTGGAACGCCGCGCCCACGCGCTCGGACAGCGGCTGCCACGCCTCCCGGAGTCCTAAGTATATTTAGCCTCATTATCAAGTGTTTGCAGTGAACCGTGTGAACCGCCTAATAGCGGCTGGAAGTGAAACTCGATTCCCAGCCAGAAGGAAGCATGTGACACTCCAGCCGGCAGGGATACAGACCAGGCGGGAGCAGGGAAGGTGCCATGGCCCCCCGCGCGCCAGGATATTTTCCACAGGCCCTGCCTGCACCCCACCTTCTTTACCTCACCTCCTTGTGCAGTCCCCCCTCCTACAAGCACAGAAATAAGGACCCAGGAGTCTGAACAAGAGGGAATCAGAGGAGGAACCGAGGCAGGAGAGGCGTCTGGTCTGGTCCAAGCCGGTGCGCGCTTGGCTAGGTTGGCTCCACCGTGTCTTCAGTTTCCAGTTCTCGGAAACCTGGTGTCGAGGGGTGTGTGTGTGAGGGTCTGTACCTTCCAGTGCCTTCCGCTAACCTGGGGTGGGGTGCTGGACAGGCTGGGGGGAGGGTCTCTGTTGCTCGCGCAGGCGCGCGTGCCGCGTTCCCCGGGAGGCTGGCGCGCGCTACACAAGTTTTCACCACCTGCGCGCTGCTGCTGTTCGTTGTGGTCGCTATGACGACGGGTCGCGGTTTTAATTTTTAAATAGCGGCCAGCGATTACACAGATGCCTCCGCCGCGCTCCCCGCAGCTCCCGCGTCCGGGAGGATGCAACCAGGCCCCGCCTCGCCCTGGCCCCAGACTACCGCCCTGGTCGCCCCCAGATCTCCGCCCGCCCCGAACTCCTGCTGGGCGCTCCGGGAGCGCCGGGCGTAGGTCTAGGCGGGGTCCCCCGGAACCAGCGGCCTCCATGAGGGGGCGGGGGCCGGCCCCTCCGCAATGCAACGCGACCTTGCTCCTGAATTCCCACACTCACTGTCACACCGGGTCCTTGAACCCCAAAGCGGTGTCCTCGGGTCCCCTCTGCCCGAGAGGAGCCCGGGGGACAAGATGCGCACAGCTCCCGACTTAAGAAGGTGAGGGCTCCACCCGGGTCCAGCTGGGACCTGGCGGTGCGCGTTCTGACGCCTTCGGAAGCCATCCAGTGGGTCTCCCTCACCATCTGGACGGACACAGCCAGGCTTTCAGGTGCTTCTCAACGTTTCTAAGTTTTCCCGCTTCTGACCACCCGGAGGGGTCGCGGCAGGGACGTGGGGGTGGGGACACTGCACGACGCGGGCCGCAGGAGCGGCTCCACCCGCCGCAGGTATTTGGAGAAAGGCGAGTGTCCCCGAAGCGCCCTCTCCACTGGGCCTTTGAAATGCGGGAGCCACCGAAGCGCCCTCTCCACTGGGCCTTTGAAATGCGGGAGCCACGGAGCTGGGGGACGAAAGGGCCCCTTCTTCCCTGCTGCGCCTTTGGAGGGGGAGGTCAGGGTGGCCGCGGCAGGGGGCTCTGGTTAATCCGCAGGATGAGGGGTGTTGGCTGGGGCGGGCGGAATTCACGGCCGTCTAGCTTTGGGGTCCGCCACCTCCTATGCCCCTCGAGGCACCTGCAGGCACTCGATCTGCCTTCGGAGTCATACTCCACCTGTCCAGGCGGGCGGGATTCACTGCGCTTGGGCGCACCCGCTCCTTCTCGGTGGGAGGCCCCCGCTCAGACCTTGGTCTGCGCGCGTCGCGCTTCCCCGCAACGCGCTCTGTTCCGCGCCTTGACCGGAGGTGGCGCTCTGTGTGCCCGCGGATCCCGACGCAAAACCCAGGAGTTCCCCACTAGCCACTGCTTCTTTCCCGTCCTTCCCTCCTACCCCCCAGTCCCCCAGTCCCCGACTCAGCTCAGGGTGCTCCAGCCTTTGGAGAGGGAGTGGAGACCAGGGGGGCGCGGGGTGTCCAGGTGGGAATGAGACAAGGCCACAGCCCCCTCCCCGACTTGGGCTGGTCTCCACCTGAAATGTGGGTGGAGGTTCCTCATTCAGTTGTCCCGGGCTTCGGACCCTGGGCTGGGGCGCGTGGTAGCCTCCAGGTGAGTGCCCCAGATGTGCCCTTATACCTGCCCCACCTCTCCGCAGAGACTCACTCCCCCCATCCTTTGGTGGCGAGGGGGAAAGGCAGGGGCCCTGGATCCAAATGGTGGAAAGCGGCCCGAGCTCCGGGCCGGGGGCCGCGGCTCTCTAGCCCTTTTTGGCGCAGAGGCTCTGGGAGCTGCCCTCTGCCGCTGCTGGGGCCCGAGAGAGGCGAACCGGCGACGGCGAAGCTTCTGAGGCGGCCTCCTCCCCTCCCCGCCCGGTGCCGCAGGATTGCAGCTGGCACTGGAGGGTGGGCAAGCTCGAGGGAGGGGCGCGCGGGGAGCCCGGGCGCCTGTGCCTGGGAGCCGGGCGCGGGGCTTTGATGGATCTAGCTGCCTGCGAGCGCGCGTGTGTGCTCAATGCAGTGGCGGCGGGGTCCGCACGACCCCCGCGCGCTTCGGAGGTGCGGGTCCGGGGCCCGGAATCCCGGGGAGGCGGGGTGGGGTTGGGGGGGGGGGAGGGGCGCGGCGGCGGCGCTATAACCCCCTCCCTGCCGCCGGCCGGCTCCACACGCGCGCCCTGCGGAGCCGCACAACTCCGGCGAGCCCGGCCTGCCTGCACCTCCTTCTCCTCCTCCTTCTCCTCCTCCACTTCCCGAGGCGGCGGCGGCTGCTGCGGCGGCGGCGGCGCCGGCCCGGCCCTGCGCCCGCCCTCAGGCCCGCGCAGGCGGCGCAGCCAGGCCCCGGGCAGGCGTTGCGGCCGCGGGCGCTTGCCCGGCCCCGGCCGGCGGAGGGCGGAGCGCGGCGCCGTAGCCGAGGGCGCGCCGCGGAGGGGCGCACGCAGGCCGCCGGGCCTCGGCGTGCTGGGCCGCGCTGTGCCCGGCCGGGCGGTGGCGGTGGCGGCGGCGGCGGCGGCGGGTGGTGAGAGGAGGCCGGAGGCGATCGCCGGCCGGAGGGAGGCCCGCAGCCCACGGGGAGAGCAGCAGCCGGGGGAGGGTGCGGGGTGGCTCGGCTGGGCGTCCAGACAGGTGATCGGTGTGGCGGCAGCGGCTCTAGCCTCGCTCCGGGGTCCCTCCCGGGGTTGATGCCCACAAATATGCTGAATTACCGGCCGGGTCGCTCCTAAAGCCAGCGGCGGGGAGCGAGCGCGGCGGCGGCCAGCACGGGGAACGCACCAAGGAAGCCCAGCCCCCGCCCTCCGCCCCTTCCGTCCCCACCCCCTACCCGGCGGCCCAGGAGGCTCCCGGCGCGGCGGGCGCGCACTCCCTGCTCCTCCTCCTCCTCCTCCTCGCTGGCGCTGCACTCTCTGCTCGCGCCGGGCGCGCTCCACCGGCTCCCAGCTCTCCGCGCCACCCTCCTCTGGGCCGCGCTCCCTGAGGGATGGTACTGAATTTCGCCGCCACAGGAGCCCGGCTGGAGCGCCCGCCCCGCGGCCTCGCCTCCCTGCCGAGCCGCCAGCGCCTCGGGACGCGATGAGGACCTGGGCTTGCCTGCTTCTCCTCGGCTGCGGATACCTCGCCCACGCGCTGGCCGAGGTGGGTGCCACCCCCGCGCCCCGTCCCCTCTGGCTCTCCGTTCCTCGCTGCCACCCACACCCCCGGCAACCCGGGCGCACGCCCCCCTCTGCTGCCGGCTGATCTGGGGGAGAGCGCCAAGGCTCTGCAGAGGGCGTTTTGGTATTTTTTATTTTGCTAGGGTGGTTGATTTAAAAAAAAAAAATTCCCGACTGGGTTCTATTTTCTGCCATGCCCAAGTGTGTCTGGTGAGTTTCCAGCGTGTTGCGTCGCTCTGCTTCGGAGGGAGCGGCGATGTGGACGAGCGGGGAGAAACTTCGGGGGGCGCAGCGGGCAATGCAGTAACGGGGTGCGGGCAGCGGGGAAAGGGGTGTGTTGTGAGCTGGCCGAGCCCTGGGAGGTGGGGGTGGGAGTCCGGCGGCCCGGTAAACAGGTAGAGGGCTGCGGCGGAAGCTCGGGGCTGGGCAGGGTGAGCAGGGCTGAGCCGCAGCCCCTGTCCCCCACGTCCCCAAGCTCAGCCAGGCGCAGGGCCCGAGCACTCCCGCCCGGGGCCTGCTTACAGGTGGCTGAGCGAGGCAGCTGGGGCCGGGCCAGGCGCCCGCGCCCTCCCACCGCTGGCGTCCCCACCCCCTGCCCCCGAGTCCCCAGGAGCTTTGCTGTGATGAATGACTTCCCACAGCCCCTGCCGTGGGAACTTAGCGCTTGAGCCCCTCAGCGACCCCCGAGTCCGTGTAAGAACGAGGTGGAAAGTGTGTGTGTGTCGGGAACGGGAAGGCCGAGTGGTGACAGTGGGGTGGTCTTGGGCAAGGGGAACTGGAGTGCCGTGAGGTGTAGATTTGTCACCTTAGCGTTCCCCGTAGTCTGTCCCAAACGCCGGCTGCTTTGGGGCGTCCTAGTCGGCGCTAGGGCTGTGGCTGGGCCGGGGCCGGGTGGGGCGCGGGCGCGCGCGCGGTGGCGAGGGGAGACCCTTTCCACGGCGGACTCGGCCCCGGATTCCGGGGCGTGAAATTTAAGCCTCTGGCTAAGATTAAAGTGTTGGGGTTGCCGCTGACTTTCGTCGTTGATCCGTGACGCATTTCGCCCCTCTGTTTCTAGATAAGGATTTCACTGTTAAAACCAGAAACTCCTCGCTTTCCCCTCACCCCCAGACCTCTTGTAACTGACCCTCCGGGGAGGGCCGGAGAGCGGGGGCTTTTGTCTCTAGATGCAAAGGCGGTGGTGATGGTGATGGTGGTGGTGGGGGGGTCCAGTGTGTGTGTGTGTGTGTGCGTGTGCGTGCGTGTGTGTGTATTTTGCAAAGGGCAGACTGGGATGGGGGTGGAGGACGTGGGGGTCCCACCCAACCCCACCCCAGCGTCCAGCTCCAGGGTCCCCCGTGGGGGTGCACGGTGCGCGTGGGTCCCGCAGGCCGGACGGGAGGGCCCTCCTCTGGCCCCCCAGTGCTGGCTGGTGCTGACCGTGTGGTCTGCTTGCAGGAGGCGGAGATTCCCCGCGAGTTGATCGAGCGGCTGGCTCGCAGTCAGATCCACAGCATCCGGGACCTGCAGCGACTCCTGGAGATAGACTCCGTAGGTAAATCGCGCCCCTGCCCTTGGAGGGCGCGGGTGGCGGGTTGGGGAGTCCGCGCGCGCCGCTAGCCGCCCCCCGTACTCAGCCAGGCCGGGCACCGCGCAGGAGCGCAGCACCGAAAGGTCAGAATCCACTCCCTGGCCGTAAACGCCCAGGCGCATGAGTCAGGCGTTTCTCTCTTAGTCGTCACTCACTTTCTCTCCCTGTGGCTGCTTTGCTCGCCCCAGGATTGTTTTTAGATTTAAGGAAAACACCGCGTGTGTCACAGAAAGTTCGTAGAGGGCGCCGGCGTTCCAGGCCAGGTGTGCGGGCCTTGCGCCCGCCCCGGGGCTGAGAAGCTGGAGAGCCAGACGGGTGGGCGCGCAGCCCAGCCTGACCCGTGCGCCTGGCGAGGCCCCCGGGGCGCGCGCCCAGCCGGCTGGCCAGGACCCCGGACCCCTTTGCGAAGCCTGCGCTCCCGGCGCCCGCTGGGCCCCCAGTGGCTACAAGGAAGCTGGTGTTTTCTCTCTTTCACGATCCAATAAAAAAAGGCGTGCTTTGGACACACGTGCTCTGGGCTATTTTGGGGGCTCCCCCTCAGGGCTGGGAGCCAACAGACTTTAGAAAACAGTTTGTAAACGCAGAGTTTTGAAGCTCTGGCTTCCTGGGGTTGGACTAGATTAGGGCCCAGGTAGGTGGACAAGGACTAAAGGGGTGTGGGTTTGGGGTGCTTCACTCCCTCCCTGAGAGCCCCTTACTCTAGCATCAGGACTCCTCCACATTTTGGGTCGACCTTTTTCAAAGTGAACACTTGACCTGGGAGCTCTATGGTCAGAGTTAGGGGGATTCTGGAGAAAAAACACTGGCTTGCCGAAGGCCAGAGGTGAAGTTGTCTGCAAGAGTAGCTGTAAAGGCAACCAAGAGAGAATTTTAGGGAAATGAAGATTTTTCCCCCCCCTCCCTGCAAACTACTAGGCAAGGGGGTGGTGGAATTAAGTCAAGTCACATGGCCTAGTCATTTGGAAATTTGTACCTAATTATGGTGGGCTCAAACTGTTTTCATTCTATGCCAAAACCATCCTCTAACAAGGCCGCTGGTTTTGTAGTTTCTTGACCCAGGAAATCTTTTGCCTGATCCTTATCAGGAGTGGGGTAGGGTTTCACTTGGAGATCAGAGTTGGGCCAGGGGGATTTTGATCTGGTCCCTTGATCTGTGAGCCTGGAGGTGGAGCCTTGGCTTGGGTGGCTGGGGAAACACTTGGCTGCATTTTGTGGGTCCTGGAGATGTGGGAGAAGGCCTCTCCCAGACATCCCGCTCTATAGGGCTGAGGCCCTCCTGTGGGCCTGGCGTCAGATGCCTGGGGAAATGCACCATTCCCTTTCTGCTGGGACCATTCTTATTCTGGCTGCAGCCCCGCCTCCCCCACCCCCCACCCATTAACTCCTTTAGCATTGCAGTTCTGTGGGGTTTCTTTTTTTTTTTTTTTTTTTTTTGGGCTGTTGGCATCCTGACCTGGGGCCTCCTGGGGGCTGCACAAAGCTCCAGTCCTGACAGGTTTCAAATTGCTGCTGTAAGAATGTCCCGGGAGCCTCTCCCTCCAGCCTCAGGGGACACAGGGGTGGAGCTCAGTCCTTCCGATCGACCACCTGTCAGACAATTGGGGGGTCTGAATGGGAAATTGAGAACCTAGTGTGTGTGGGGGGCTCCTCATGCCCTCCCTCCTTTGCTCTCCAACTTTGACTTGAGGTTGGGGATCCTTTGTGACACAAACCCCAAAGTGGGTGTCCTCCCTCCTTGTCCAGCCCACACCCCAAGTGTGGAAACAGATCCATAGGACTTCAGTCTCTGGCCTGAGGACCAGCGTGTCCCCTGGCTCCTGAATAAGTATTGGTTCCCCTCCCCCATCCAATCCTGTTCCCACCTGAAGTGAAAAACCCAGTGGTGTCAGGCTGCTAGGAAGTTTGCAGACAGTTATGGGGGTCATTTCTGAGAATTTTCCGTTCTCCTGGCCCTGCTTTCTTCTCTTTAGGTCTGACTGACCTGTTAGTCATCCTGGTCAGGCAGGAGCCTGTGACCATGCAGGGGACAACAGAGGTCCAGGGAGAAACACTGTTTGACCCCTACTGCTGGGACTTAGCCAAGGTGGACCTTCCACCCTTGGTGTCCCTCCTTCCAGCCTTCCAGGAGCAGGAAGTGGGCTTTGGGGTATTCTAGGTCCCCGAGTCTATGCCTCACCTTTGTGGGTGGAGCTTTGTGATTGACACATGGTTCATCCAATGAGCTAGAGGCACGCCCATGTCACAGATGGGGAAGGCCTTATTCCCTCCCAGACTTGTAGCTGCAGGGCTGTGTGACCTAGGTTCTAGAAGTAGCAGAATTCCTGCACATTGTCACCGAGCTTGGAGCAGTCCACAGCATGTACTAAATATGAGGTGGCCTTGACCGTGTGTATGTGTGTTGGGGTTGTGTGTGGCTTTGGGGTCCAGGGTCCTGCACATGGTCCTGCAGTGACCAGAGGGTTGGGCCTGATTGCCGTCAGGTGTGTGGAGCTTGGCGCTTTGTTCTCCACAGCCTGCTGGCCAGGCGCCCATGGGTCATTGAATAACTGGCCCATAAATGTCTCCATCCCAGGCCGGTCACGCTTGGCCAGGACGGAGTTGGAGGAGTCTCTGTCTTCAGTTGTCATTCAGACATCTGTGCATCAAGACAAAAGCAAGACCTCTTGATGAACATGCCTCCCAAGTTACTGCTGGCTGGAGTCACTTTTCCACCAACGTAAATCAGAGTGGACGCTACCCGAGACTACGGATTGTCACTGCCCATCTCGATGCAGGGGACAGAGGGTGGGCTTTCTGACTAGGCAGGACCTGTCCCCTGCTCCGTCTTGTGTCTAGAGAAAGGTCATCTCTGCTTAGCCTGGGGTCTGGGAGTTGAGCATGCTGGACCCTTGCCCTGGAGGGTCCCTTCACTAGCCATTTGTCCTTGTCTGTTCCGTTTCTCTGGACCTCAGTTTTCTCAGCTGATAAGTGCCTACTGTGTGCACAGGAAGGGTGCGACTCCGCTAGAGCAGGTGACAGGGAGGTGACGCATCCCAGGACCACAGCTGATGCTGAGAGTAGACCTGTGGTTCGTTGGTTTGGTGATGGATGGTAGGACGGCCACCACCAGGACATGACTCATCGTGTCACTTTTTCGTGAAAAAAAAATACTCCTCGTAGCAGTTGGTTGATGGGTTATTCTTACTGCATTCTTACTGCATGAGTAGTTCTGCTCTGATCTTATTTTGGGTCTCAAAAAAAAAAAAGGAAAGAAAGAAAATTGTGGTGTTGGAACATTGAGTCATTTTAAATGAAAATTTGGGTGCTGTTCAGACTTTGTCTTTGCTATTCACACCTCGTGCAAGGTTTTCGGTTTTCGTTATAAGTGTGTGGGTTGCAGACGTCTTGGGTGGAAGACGCCGAGGTTTCTCCCATGGGTTTGTGGACAGTGTGATGTCCCCGTGAGCCGGGCAGAAGGACCTCAGGCTGTACATTCTGGGTCTCTAGGGTCCTCGATCTGTGGTCCAGTGAGCAGCCGTCACTGAAGGTCCTGAAACAGGGCAGGAAGGTGCAGGATAGGTTCCTAGCGAAGCTAAGAGAGTCCTAACTGCTGGACGCAAGTCCCCAGTCCTGGAGTCTTGGGACTCCAGCTAGGTCCCAAGAGGTGGGGTTCGCCTGATCCAGGTGTGGGTTGTATCAGGCTGTGTGTGCTCCCCTGTCCCCAGGAATCACAGACATCTGGGACTGGCATGTCACGCTGCCACCCGAATGGGTGGTGGGTGTGTCCTGGGGGGGTTGGGATTCTTGGTGCTGGTCTTAGCTCTGGGGCCAGTGCGCATCCCTGCAGGTACTGGGGACCATCCACTGTCCTTCCTGCAAGCTGACTGCCTTCTCTGCCGGGCACTGGACTCCTGCCTCAGGCCTGCAGCTGCCACACACTTTACACTCTGCCCCTCTTGGCATTTTCTCATGGCCTCTGGCCTCAGAGCAGGCAGGCTTATTTCAGGAACGAGTGGGGGCTGGCTCGCTGCCCAGTCTAGCGTTGCTTCCGATGCCCCTCTGAGGCTATAGGACACTTCATCAAGGACTGCTTTGCAAGAGGGTGGAGCCGTGCGCACATGGGCAGGAAACTGTGGCCGCTGCCCCTTTTCTTCCGTCCAGCCCAATGGCAGTGCTGTCTGGGAGATGGGCCCAGCTAGTGACCCAGATTGGTTCTGGGATGGGCCGGCCTTTAGCTGTGGCCTCTTCCAGGTACCATAGGGGGAGGCCACCTGAGTGCCTTCACCAAAGGTTAGCTTTGTCCTGGACGTCTATGATGAGGCCGTTTTTGTTGTGGTTGTCAGTGTTACCCACTGTACATCTGAAAAGTCCCTTAGGAGGATGGAGGGTGCTGGGGACCCTGCTGTATGAAGGTGGAGGATCTGAGAGGGGGTCTTACCTGTCCTGGGGAAAGAGACTGGGGGACCTACCTGTCCTGGCATGGAAGAGAAACCTGTTGTATGGGGGTAAAGGGTCTGGGGGCCCCATCTGTTCTTTGGAAAGGGACTGGGGGGACCTACCTGTCCTGGGGTGGAGAAGGAACCTGCTGTATGGGGGTGCAGAGGCTCGGGGTCCCACCTATCCTGGGGAAAGGGTCTGGGGGACCTGCCTGTCCTGGGGTGGGGGTTAGGCTGTGTCCTTTGTGCCAGGTGGCTCTGAAGGCTCGCCGGTAGAGCGCCTGCTGCTCAGGCCCCAGGGGCACAGTGCACAGGTGTGGACGCTGGCTGGTGACCGAGTTCTCTCTCTTACCTCAGGGGCTGAAGATGCCTTGGAGACCAGCCTGAGAGGCCATGGGGCCCGCGCCAAGCATGCGCCTGAGAAGCGGCCTGTACCCATTCGGAGGAAAAGAAGTATTGGTGAGTGAGTGAGTCAGAGGCTGTGCCAGGTCCTCAGAGGAGGACTCTGTGGCCTCAGGCGCAGTCAGCCACCCGTTCCTCCTCCACCAAACAAAGGCCGGGCCTGGCCCCCAGCTCTGGCCTCCTGCCCTCTCTGGAGCGAGGGAGCGAGTGAGTGAGCGAGTGAGCGAGGCCGCCCTCCTCCTCCTCCACAGTGTGTCTCCTGCCTGCCCCTCTGCAAGTCGCGCCCGAGCCAAGAGTTTCCAGGAGAGAGAGAAACTCATAAATTCCTTAAGTGCCGGTCCTGTCGGGGCCTGTCTGCAAGAGGCCTTGCTGGAGAACGAGGGTTCGCTTAACTTGCAGCTCCGAATGAGAGCACTGGTGAGCTTCCCAGCTCAGGCTGCAAAGCCGGCCATCCTGCGGCTGGATGCTCGTGGACACCGTTGCCCGTAACCCCACCCTGTGGCGCTGGGGCTCTGCCTGGGCCTCCTTTGGGGGTGGGGAGGGGGTGTTTCAGTTCTCTCAAGGCCTTGTCTGTGCTTTCTTGCTCTGGGGTGGGGTTGTTGGGTGCAACCCACCCAGTCCTAGCCTGTCTGAGGGGTACTGTCTGCTTTCTGTCCAGCTGAGGCTGGTGTTCATTGCTGTGTGATGCTGGGCGAGTATATCTCAAAGTGGGTTTTGTATCTTCCACTGTTGGATGTGGTGTGTGCATAGGGGATGTTACTGGGTTACACACTCATCAGGCCACAGCCCTCCGGTTAGTACTGAAGAGTCTCTAACCCACACTGGGGTATGGGAGTCTGTCCATGAGCCAAGTGGGGGGCCTGGGCTGAAGGAAGTCCTCTCCCTGGCCAGCCTGACCCTCTGGCCCACCTGGCCAGATTCTCTGGGTCTCTTCTAGACAGAGGGGCAGCAGGTGTGGGCCACCCCAGAGCAGCATGCCACGGGTCCAGGGGTTGGGGGGTCCTCTGTTTGAAAGACTACAGAGGTACCAGAAGGGTCTTTGTCTAGGGACTCCACAAAGCTAGGAAGGACACTTGGACCTGCTCTTGCCTACTGTTTCAGGAACACTGAGGAGCTCGCATGACCCCTACCCTACCTAACCCAGAGGAGTCTTCATTCAGTTTAAGCATTCCTTTGTGTCACCCTGAGAGAGACGGCCATCTGGGGTGTGGTGTGAGGGCAGTTCTGCGTTGTAGGGTGTGTGCCCCTCCCTGCTGGCTTGCTGCTGGGCTGGACCTCGGTCCCCTGCAGACCCGTTTCCGTCCAGCTCCAGGCTCACTGCCCACAGGTGTCTCCCAGAGCCAGCCGGGTTCCCTCCACCTCTTGCCGGGTTCCTTGAGCTTGTGTCTAGGCTGCCCATTGATCACTTCCACAGCTGGACATTGCCAGGTGCTCACGGCATAGCGATCAGCTGGGCTGTAAGGGAAGGAAGGTGTGTGGCTCAGACTCACGTCAGAGATCTCATCCTGTCGTCACACCTGGCCAGCAGATGGGTTCCTCGGGGCTGTGGCACAGCTGCCTCTCCTTGGAGGGTGGCTGGGTGGCCTCTCGGTGACGTTTGTCAGCAGGTCCCAGGCCCCTGAAGGCACGAGGACTCCAACTGAGCCTTTCTGTCCTCCTACCCCTTGGACTTGCTTTGATGTACGTCTCGGCCTCTCCCAGGCTTGCTGAACTCTGTCCCCAGGGGCAACCCTGGCCTCCCTTGACCCTTTGGGGTCAGATAGTTCCTTGTGCCACCAGGGCTCTGCTCCTCCTGGCTCCTGTGTGGGTGCCTGTTGGAGAGCATGTCCAGCTAGTTGTACTGGACCTAACAGCAGTGCAGTGGGGTCACAGAGTGAGCCCCTGCCTGGGCCACCCAGGGGGCAGGGGTTCAGGAGAATGAGTGCTTGTAGCTGTGGCCTCTGCACTCACCGAGCTCTCTCCTCTCCAGAGGAAGCCATTCCTGCAGTCTGCAAGACCAGGACGGTCATTTACGAGATACCTCGGAGCCAGGTGGACCCCACGTCTGCCAACTTCCTGATCTGGCCTCCGTGTGTGGAGGTCAAGCGCTGCACGGGCTGTTGTAACACGAGCAGTGTAAAGTGCCAGCCCTCAAGGGTCCACCACCGGAGTGTCAAGGTGAGCTGTCCCTCCCTGTCCCCCATGATTCCCACCACCCTGCCACTGTCCCTTCTGGGTTACCATAACGTGTTCTTGGGATGGGGCAGTTGTACAAAAATGCAGTGTTGGGGCAGAGCTGGCAGGTCTCCTGGTTGATGTCCAGGTTGGCTGTCAGCTCCCAGCCTGTGGTCACTAGGGGCCACCTCACGGCTTGCCCCAGGTAGGGGGTTGGCAACGGTGACCTCCAGGAGTGGCATAGGGTAGTCAACATGGTCACAGTTCTTGCTGTGTCCCCTTAAGTGTTGGGGACAGTTTTGCTGCTTCTGGGCCTTGGGCCTGATTGATGGTGTCAGACAGAGTCTGACCCCTCTGCATAGTGGGTCAGCACTCCCGGGGGCTGGGGCTGCTGACCTCCCTGCTGGATGGAGGGTTTCCCGCCATCCTGGGCTCAGTCCCTTTCTAGACGTCCCTCTAAGATGGACACGGTTAGAGGGCAGGTGTCTATGGGCTTCCATGACGTGCAACTGAGGCCGGATGGAGCCTTTGAGACTGGACCCTTTTGGGGCTTCACAGCCTGGAAACTGGCTCTGGTTGGTTTTTACCCCATTACTATCCCTTTGTGACCCCCCCACCCCGCCCACCGAGAACAAGTAGATGTGAACTGTGGCGAGGTATAGACGGACATGGCCCCTAGTCTGGGTGGCCGAAGGGCTGGACACCCTTGGCGTGGTAGCCAGCTGCCTTTGCCTTACCCAGGCTTCTGAGTGTAGGGTCCCCGAAGTAGGTTTGAGGATTTCAGTTCTGGGTGCGAACTTAGCCCGATTCTTTGACTCCAGAAATCATCAGCCCCCCACCTCCCCCACCCCCGAGACCCTGGACCCTGGCGGGAGTGAGGAGAAGGTCACTTTCTTGGTGAGGGCCCATCCTCAGTGGGCCTTATATATCCCAGGACCAAGCATCTTAGACCTTTAACTGGGGCTCACCTTGACCTCTTGGTCCCCTTGGAATTCCTGGAATTGAGTGAGCAAATCCTATATCCCACTGCAATACCCTTTAAAAAACCTGGCCTTTTTTGGGCTTTAGGGGGCTTGTCTGGGGAGCCCCCACGGGCAGAGGCTGTACACAGGGGTGACCAGGGCCTCCAGGTCTCCCTGTCACCAGCCACACTGTGTGTCGTCCCCCGCCTTGGGGTTCTCAACTGTGGTGTATGGTGGTCCTGCAACCCCAAGAATCGGGTACTTACTCTCTTGTCTTACTCTCTTGGGTTTGGGCAGCAGGGCGGATCCAGGATAGATGTTTCTGTGTGGGCACAGAGGGTCCTTCAGCACCTGAGATGTGGGAGCTGGGAAAGACAGGTGCTAGCGTGAAGGGTGACACTGAGGTCCCTGGGTTTCAGTGTCTGGGAGCTCCATTGTCCCTACTTTGCATCCCTGGGTGAGGATCTGCTGGGCAGAGGTGTGTCGCCCTGCACCTGAGTGAGCCGTGTGTGTCCTGAGGCCCCCAGAGGTGTCCATCTTGAGGGAACCCCTTCTCTACGTCATAGGAATATTGCTTTATCCCCCTAGCCTCATTGGTCCAGCAGGATCCCGGTCAGCCAGAGGGGGACAGAGGGAGTCCTGTGGCTGGAGCTAGCCCTTCCTGGGCTTCCTCCTGAGGAGGGCACTCCCCTCACCCCCCCGCCATGCCCACATCCACCCACCCCAGGACAGGGAGGGAGCATCCCGCCCTCGACACTAGGGGCTCTGGCAGAGGACGGAAGGTCAGCTGAACAGGAGGCCCATTGTGGAGGCTGAACAGGAGGCTGGATCCACTCCATTTGGGATTCAGCTGATGGTGACCTGGACAGTTGGGGTTGGCCTGGGGTCCCTGACTCACCTGTAGCCCTGTGCTGCACCTGTGTGAGTGGAAAACAGGGTCAGTGGGGCCAGGTTGGCAGCCCTGTCCACCCTGCTGGGAGTGGCTTCTGTCCAGATTCCAGTTTTTTTGGTCTTTCTTCTATGGTTTTGGGGTTTGAACTCAGGGCCTCACACTTGAGAGGCAGGTGCTCTACCACTTCAGCCACTTCGCCAGCCTTTTTGACTTTTCTTGTTTTTTTTTGAAACAGCTCAGGCTGGCCTCAAACTCACAGTCCTCTTGTCTCACCTTTCAGAGTGCTGGGATTACAGGCAGGCATCACCACATCTAGCTTTTTTTTGGGTGGGGGGATTGGTACTGGGGTTTGAACTCAGGGCCTACACCTTAAGCCACTCAACCAGCCCTTTTTTTGTGATGAGTTTTTTTGAGATAGGATCTCACTGATTATTTGCCTGGGCTGGCTTCGAACTGTGGTCCTCCTGATCTCTGCCTACATCTGGCTTTTTAGATGGTGGTGAGACTGGAGTGGTCACTCAGTGTGGCCCATGCTGGTGAGCCATCGATCCTGGGGTCAGTGGGAGCCTGCCCAGCCCCTCCCCCCCCTCAGGCTCTGGATATCTGGACATGCTGGGGTGGATGGCCAGCCCTATGGACTGGACGCAATGGTAACTGAAGGACAGGACTTTCCAGTCACTGCCCCAGGTGGTCAGCAGTGGGTTGTGGTATGTGGTTGGGGCTGGGCTGTCTTCTCCCTGGGGACACCTGGAGAGGAGGTCTAGTCCCAGGCCCAGCACCATGCTAGAACCATGTAGGCCACCAGTAATGTCAGCCTTGGGGACAGGTGGCCAGGCGTCCCAGCCCGGCTGGCTTTCCAGTTCTTGGCTCCTCACGGTCAACACTTGGCGTCTGACCTCCTGGTGTCCTGCTCGGTCCTCTAGACCCTCACAACAGGCTCGAAAGCATGGAGCGGAGTGGGCCTGGCCAGCGGGAGCTGCTGTGTGTGAGCCTGCATTGGTTGGGGCCCCTGTGGGGTCAGGGGTCAGGCCAGCTCTGACCTGGCCACCGCCCTGCACAGGGCGGTTTCAGGCTGGCGTATGATTTTACACAACCTCACGAGCCAGGACCCAACATGCGTGGTCAGTCCATAGCAGCCGGGGCTGGGGCCTCAGCTCTGCGGGGCTGGGCCTTGCAGGTCTGAAAGGTGACAGGGTCGGTCAGGTCCCCCACGGGTGGACTTGGAAACCATGTACTTGAAGGAAGTGCGCACCCCCAGAGGTCGCTGTTTGGGGTTAGCGTGGGGTCTTTGGGAGGACATGGCTGAGGAGCCTCTACCTTGGGGAAGCAGCTAGGCGGGGCACTGATGTCCCTTGGGCTGCGAGCCCTGGAGTCTGGGGTCATTCCATTCCTGATGCCATGTGGGGCCTCAGTGGGTGATCCAGGCTCCGGCCCCCTGTCTGTTGTCCAGTTTGAGGCCTGGTGTCAGCCTCTTCCTCAGGGGATGTAGACTGGACATTTTGGGGAGCAGAGCCCTGGTGCCGGCTCAACCAAGGAGAGGTCTGCTTGACTGGGGAAGGTTCTTGGGGGCTGTGACTCTCCCCTTCCTCCCCTCCCACCATCCCTTCCTCCTCCTTTCCTCTATCTATGGTTCTCTTTTGGGCAGCACTGGGATTTGAACCCAGGGCCTCATACTTGCTAGGCAGGTGCTCTACTCCTTGAGCCCTTTTGGGGTTTTTTTGTTTTGTTTTGTTTTTTGAAACAGGGTCTTGCTCTGGTACCCCAGGCTGGCCTGCAACTCAGACTCAGCCTCCTGAGTGTTGGGGTTAAATGTAGGTGCCCCTGTGCCCTGCCTTTTACATGGTGGTGAGACTGGAGTGGCCACCCGGTGTGGTCCAGGCTGGTGAACGATCTATCCTGGGCTGGGTGGGAGCCTGCCCAGTGGCACCGCCTTAGACACTGGGCATCGGACATGCTGGGGTCGACGTAGGCCCTGTTGACTGGACAAAATGAAGGACTGGATATTCCAGCCATTGGCCCAGGACAGCCCCGTTGTGATGTGTGGCTAGAGCTCGGCTGTCCTCTCCCTGGGGAGACTTGAAAAGGAGACCTCGTCCCAGGCCCAGCACCCTGGCCTGCCAGCCATTTTCTTTGTGTTGCGTATTGTCCAGTTAGGGTCTTGCAGACTGTTTGCCCAGGCTGGCTTTGAACCGCCATCCTCCTGCTCTCTGCCTCCTGAGTAACTGGGATTGCAGGTGTGAGGCACTGGGCCCAGCCACCTTTTGCTTATAGTTAGTTTTTCTGATAGGGTCTCACCTGAAGCCTCCAACCCCCACTTCCCAAGTAGGCTGTACTTGTTCAGAGGCCACGGTGCCTCTGAAGCGGAGAGAGAAGAAGATCCCAGCACATAGCCTGGGGACGCTAGGCATGTTGTCTGCTTGTGGAACAGGCCATAAATAACCATGGCCACACAACTGGCTGTAAGGTGGCAGTGCTCGGTTCAGTTTTGTTATGGGTGACAAGTCCCCTGTGACAGCCCGGGTGCCAGCTTGGCTGCGTGACGCTCTGGGGTGAGCTCACAGGGAGTGCATTAGGTAGGATGGCTTGTGGGGCTGAGAGGTGTACCCCACAACCCTCTAGGGGATGGGGGAGTGTAAGGACCCCAACTCAAGGTCCGTGTGGGGCCTGGGAGCACTTTTTAAGTGGGATGCTGGGGACACCATAGCCTCTGCTTCAGACCCATCTTTCACGGAGGCAGCTTTTGACAATTGGAAATTCATAGCGTGTTCTTGGGGGAAAAATGCAGCCGTTTCCTGTCAGACTGAGGTGCCGGGGCGGCTGGAATCCTCACATTCCCCGAGCAGGTGCAGTCATAAACCGCTGTTTGTTTTTCTCTGATAAACACGGGCCTGTCTGGAGAGAAAGTGGGTCCCCGGCTCAAGCAGCCCCGCCAGGTGACCGTAGGGCTGCATTGCTGGTGTCCTGGTGCTTCCGGTGTCCCCCTCCCCCGACTCGGTGAGGAAGAACGAGGCTGGCCTTTAACCTGGGGTCGGGGGGCTGAGACTGGCCTGAGGGGCTTGGGCCTCGTGTGGGCAAAGCTACTATTGACCTACGCAGAGGGCATGGGCAAGGCAAGTGTCCTGCCCGAGCCTGGCCTCAGGGTCTTGTGGCCCACCTGTCCCTGTCCCTGGTGCCTTGCCTCGGTGGCCTGGGTCTGTAGCATGGCAGGCTTGTCAGTTCCTGATTCACAGAGAGTTGGGGACATCTGGGTACAGGTGGGCTCTGACTGTTCTTCTTGACTTGCTGGGGTTTATCCAGACCCTGGAGATGGGAGGGTCTCTGGGGCCTCCCTGTCCCTACTGGGGACACTGGGGCCTCGGGGGGACCATAGGCTTGGCCTGTGCAGAGCTTGGGGCTGATTTTGCTGACATGGGCCTTGTGTTAATAGTGACACTGTCAAAGCCAGCTCCTGCAGATCCACAGTGGCCTGGTTCTAGGGGCGTCCGCATGGGAGACCACACTTTGCTCTCACTAGCTCCCTGGGTGTGACCAATGTCCCCAGTTCACAGGTGGCAGTGGAGGTGTCTTGTGGCACCGTCCACGGACTTCTCCCACCTGGGCCAGCAGACCTGGGGAGGGGTAGGTTGTGGTCCAAGGTCCCCCTGAGCCCAGGTACCCGACGTGCACAGCCGCACCCAGGAAGCAGCTCGCAGAGGAGGCCTGCGTGCGCCGTCCTCGGCTGGTGTCTCTCCCGCCTCCTGACGTAGCGAAACCTGGCTGACCCCTGACCCCGGGGCCCCACGCCCTACAGGCTGAGCTCATACCTGGCAAGCTGCGTTCACACCTGAGGCAGCCCTCGGCATTTCGCACACCCGCTGCGCGCCCGGCACCCTTTGCTCCGCGGGTTAATCATTAATTCAGCTGAGGTGACGGTGGCTGTGGCAGGGAAGGCTGAGCCTGTCCCCAGCTCCATAGGACACCTTTCTTGTGTGGGTGCTGTCCAGCCCAAGTGCAGGGTTGACCCCTCTGCCCTGGAGACGGGGGGTACCAGTTCCTGGACTCTGGACCCTCTTAGAAGATGGGTCAAAATGTCCATCCCCTCCCTCACCTTCCCCTGGGGGCCTGGGATGGACACTTGGTCCCATCCTAGAGGGTCATTCACCAGGTGACTGCTAACCACCATGCTGTCCCCACCCAGGCAGCCCAGGTTGAGCTCTGTACCCTTCCCAGCCTCAGTTTCCCCAGTGAATGGTCAGGAGTTAAGTGGGAATCCCTGAGGGCTGTTTTTGGGATCATAGGCACAGATAAGGCACCTACTGTGTGCATGGCTTCACCGTATTTCGATAGTGACTGTTTCTCAGCCTCTGGTCAGGCCACCACCCATGCTGTCAGGGTCACCTTGGGGACTTAACTGTCCCTAGCGGTGACAATCCTGCCTCCTGGTGGAGTGGTCAGGAGGGAGTTGTCTAAAGACACCGTCTGGCCCCCATGCTGGGGGAGGACGGGGACACTGGCCTCCTGGCTGCGTCCTCACCCTGACAGGTCTCGTGTGCCCATGATGGGGCGTGTGTGCACATCTGTGCGAGGGTGGTGGACGCCGTTCTCATGACAGAATGGGCCGTGGCGCCTGGGACGCTGCCGTGTGGGGCTGGGCTGAGTCTGTGGCTCCTGAGCCTGGAGGTTGGGCCGTTTGCTCCCTGGGGAGGGGTGGGAGGCAGGTCCACACCATGGTCCTGTCCCAGCGCCCTGGGGGACCGTGTGCTGTGGACAGGCAGTGTGATGGGAGGCTCCGATTCCCTGCCTCTGAACCTGTGTCTCCTCCTGGACCCGCTGTGGCCTCCGTGGTGGCCTGGGGTCCCTGGCCTGCCTTTCTGAGAAGGCGAGGTTGGTGTGTGGTCAGCCTTGAGGCTGGGGAGCACATGGGGTGTTGTCAGGCTTTGTGGGGCTGCGTTCAGCCGTTTCTCGGTGGACCGTGGGCAGGAGCGGGGCAGGAGCTGGGCAGGGACTCCTGCAGTGAGCAGGATCCGCCGGTGGCCATGGCTCCCTCCCTCCCTCCTTCCTTCCTTTCTTTTCGGGGTTACTGGGGTTTTGAACTCAGAGCCTCCCAAGCTCAGATGGGCACAGAGGCACATGGTGTTGAGCTCAAGGTCATTTGGCCAGTGAAGGGCAAAGCCGGGTCACAGCCCAGGCCTGCCGGACCCTTCCGTATGGACACTGACCACAGGGAGGCAGGACATGAGCTGACGGAGGTGCTGGTCCTGGGTTCCAATCTAACTTTTTATTGGATGATATCATTCAGCATTTGTTTATTTCAGTGGTACTAGGGTTTGAACTCAGGGCTTCAGACTTGCTAGGCAGAGTCTCCTGCTTTTGACTGGGCAGTTACAGGGTACACCACCAGGCTTGGTTTGTTGTTGAGATGGGGTCTCGCTAACTATTGCCTAGGCTGTCCTGGAACTGCAGTTCTCCCCATCTCTCACCTCCTGAGTAGCTGGGATTACAGGCGTGAGCCAATGCACCTGGCTCTTTTCTGCGGTATCAGGGATTTGAACCCAGGGCCGCCCACTTGCTAGGCAGGTGCTCCACCACTTGAACCACACCTCCAGCCCTCCTCTTTCTTCAGCCATGCACACACATTGGAACCTGTCTCGGTGCACGTAAATGTGCAGTGACCACACCCTTCTTGACCTCCCCTCCCGCCCTGGCCGCCCCACCCACCGTGCCGTGTGCAAAGCCTCCAGCTCTTCCAGGCACTGGAGAGCATTTGGCTTGATTTTTTATTTATTTTTTTTATCATTTATGGCATTGTTAGGATTGAACTCAGGGACTTGTGTTTGCTAGGCAGACTCACTACCACTGATCCACAGCCTTTTCCTTTTGCTTATTGTTTGAATTAGGGTTTTTTGGCCTGGGCTGGCCTGGTCCTCAATCCTCCTATTCACACCTCCTCTGTAGCTGGGATGACAGGCGTGCCCCACCACACCTGGCTTGTTGGTTGAGATGAGGTCTTGTGGACTTTTTGTTCTGGGCTGGCCTCCTCCTGATCTCCACCTCCTGAGTGCTGGGATTATAGATGTGAGCCACCATGCCTGGCCACAATGGAAATGAATGGAGCTTGTTTTTTTTTCCCCTCTTGCCTTCCTCCCTTGGAAGGTCACAGGTCGAAGGTCAAGGTTGGGCCGTTCTCCATTCACCGTGTGGGGCTCTGCTCTCTCTGCAGGTGGCCAAGGTGGAATACGTCAGGAAGAAGCCAAAATTGAAAGAGGTGCAGGTGAGGTTGGAGGAGCACTTGGAGTGTGCCTGTGCCACCTCCAGCCTGAACCCTGATCATCGAGAAGAGGAGACGGGTGAGTGGCTGCCCCTGTCCCCGTCCCTGTCCCCGTCCCCCCCGCCAGGGTCCTCCGACCTGACCAGACTTCTGGGGTGGGTGACTGTGTGATGGGCGGGTAGAGGGTGAATAACGGCCAGGATGGGATCAGCCACCTGGAGACGTGGGGTGGACATTGGCCAAGCCACAGGGCTGGCGTCGAGTGGGGGCTGGGGTCAGGTGAGCTGTGGTGGCCAAAGGCCTCGTCCAGGGGCGGGGGGAGGGTGTTTGGGACCAGGTGGGAAGGTGGACATTGCAGGGTTCTGCTGGTCAGGGTCTTGACCTTCATTTCCCTGTCCCCCTGAGAGAGAGCTGTGGTCACCTGGCAGCCCTGGCCCAGAGGCCTGACTGACTGGAGGTGCCTCTGCTGGGGTGGCCGCATTTTCTTTCGAGAGATGGACACCTGAGGTGTTCACTGTGCCCTCTCGTTGACAGGAAGGCGTAGGGAGTCAGGTAAAAAACGGAAAAGGAAAAGGTTAAAACCCACCTAAAACGGCCGACCAGGTAGGCCAGGCCCTGCCCTGTGCTGGACGCTGGAATCTGGTCCCCGCGGGGACCCCGCAGGGCTTGGGGGACCAATCAGCTGCTCACACCAGCCAATCAGCTTCCGTGCACGGGGCAGCTGGGCCCTGATTGGCCCGAGCGCTTTGGTGTCTGCTGGGTTCTGTGCCATTGATCCGTCACACACGGGGGGAGCGGGTGGGATTCTGGATTTGTGGCTCTGTGACAGTCACTAGCTGGGGTCACGAGTGACCCCATTGGCAGATGGAGAACCTGAGGCTTACACAGGTCACACAGAAGCTGAGTACACCTGGTAATGTGTTGTGAGCATCCCAGACATTCAGCCCTGTAACCGGCAACCGCAGGGACACAGAGACGCTCTCAGCTCTCATGTAAGACCAGGACTCTGGAGCAGGTGGCAGCCCAAGGTGGCATCCGTGACCTTTTCTGTCTGAGGCTGGAGGTGTCCATCAGTCATAGCTGCCTCATAGCCCCAGGTTGTTGCTGAAGCTCCATCAGTCACACATATGTTCTAGGCTTGGAAGAGTCAGGAAGGGACAAAGAGGGCCAAAGTACCTGTTTTCTCATCTGCCATCCCGGGGAGTGTGTCAGGAGACTGTGAGGCTGGCCCAGGAGAGCTGGAGCCTGTCCGCCCGGTCCTTGCTCTTAGAGCATCCAAGGCAAACAGTCATAGGCTGGAGGAGATTCCTGAGAGATCCAGTGTCTGAGAGCCCCGGCTCCCCCGCAAGTGTGGCTGGGGACACCTGCCCGCCCCGCTGGGCACCCCATTCCTGTGGGTAACGATGGGGGGAGCTAAGGCAGCCAGGCCGAGACCCCCAAGTCTCCGAGGGCCAATGTCCACGCTGTGGGCCATGGGCAGTGTTTGTGCTGGAATGTGTGATGGAGATCCCCAGCACCACAACAACAAGCTTAGCTGATCACAGGGACCCCACTGTGTGGCTGGTGGCATCAGGGTTGCCTCACGGCCTAAAATGGCCGCCAGAGTGCCAGAAATCACACCCACGCTCTAACTTGGAAGAAAGAAAGGGAGAAAGAAGGGCCAAAGAGCCTTCCTGTGCCTCAGTTTCCCCACCTGTACAATGGGGAGCTCTCGAGTCCTCCAGTTCTTTCAGAATGTGGCAAACGTGATTCTTATTTAAAATTCAGGCTTGCTTGATTCGGATTGCGTGCCCCCTGATTGGGCCAAATGTCCCCCTGTTGTTCGTCCCCGTCCCCAACCCCTGACCACAGCCATTTTTTCGGTCGCAGGTCTCAGCCTCTGTCTCTCCGCTCTGTCTCCCCCGCAGATGTGAGGTGAGGATGAACCCGCAGCCCTCTCGGGACACGGATCTATGTGACGTGTGACATTCCTGAACGTACTGTGTACGGTGCTGTATTTGCCAGAGTAAGGTCTTTTGTTCTCCTCCGTGGAAAAAAAACAAAACAAAAAAAAACAAGAAAAAAAAAACCCCACAAAAAAAAAAATCCCAAAACTGTGTCCAAGAAACTCTGGAGAACAAAGGGACAGTGTAAATTTGTTCATTGTGACATCAAAGCAGGCATTGTAGCACTCGGAGAGACAGAACGAAGCTTCCTGATGAGTGAGCGAGAAAAACAAAGCCACAAACCCTCGCCAACAACAGACACGGGCGACACGAGGGCCACCAGGGATGGACGTGCGGCGAGCGGGTGGCCGGCCGGGTCCTGCGTCCCGTCCACCGAGGCGGGCACAGGTGCTTCCTGCCCCGGGGACGCGGGGTTGGGGGGGGGAGGGCGCGACGATGACGCCGGGGGTGACCGCTGGCCCCGCCTCGTCTCTCCCCAGCTTGAGTCTACACGGGATCTTCCCGAGAGCCTTAAGCGGATTTTTTTTACACCATAAAGTGATTATAGGCTTTTCCTTTTTACTGTCTGCCTAGCTTTCCTTTTTTTTTTTTTTTTTTTAATTATCTCTTGGATGACGTTTTCCGCCGGTAACGTGAGGCTGCTGTTGTTAACTGTTGGGACTTTGCAACGGTATTTTTATTATTATTATTTTTTTTTGCAGGATGCAAACTAATGAAATGTATTAAAATAAACATGGTATATCTACCTATGCATCCCTTCCTAAATGTTTCTGGCTTTGTGTCTCCTTTTCCCCCCTGCTATCTTCCCATGAAGCTGGGATCACAGGTGTGCACAACCATGCCCAGGATATTACTTGAGATGGGGACTCACTGTGAACCCAGGCTGGCCTCGAACCGCCATCCTCCTGGTACCCGGCTCACACCCTGCTACTGCAGCCTGACCCCAGCTTCTGTTCTTTATTTTTCTTGCACATTACTTGTTCACAGAATTGTGTGCGTGTGGTTTCTTCATTTTGGTTTCTGTAAAGGTGAACTTTGCATTTTTAATATTACCAGTTTTATACACCTGAAAGTCTGCTCTGTGTATGTATATATATTTATTTATTTGAACCAAAAGGGGAAGAAAAAAACCAAAAAATCCTTGCAAAGCTTGTGGACCTGAGAGGCGTTTGTGGTCACGTTTTTTTCCAGTTGCTTCTTGAAGTTGTCACAAAGAGACTGTCACTGTGCCAGCTGCAATGAGGCAATGATAAGGAATTTCGTCCAGCCGTGGGGCAGCCTAGAGCACCTGGCGGCCTCCTCCTCCCGTGGCCTCGTGGCTCAGTGCCCGTCAGACCTCTGTGGGTCCCGTTGTCCGGGTCGTGTCCGCCCCGTGTGTGCGTGGAAGATGTCCTTCACCCTGCAGGGCTCCAGCTGCAGTTGGAAGCTTTTCTGGTGACCCGAGAGAGCCCGAGGCCGGGCCATGCTGTGTGGGTCACTGCTGTGCGCCCGAGGTGACGTTTTTCCACGGGATCGGCGTACTGCAAAGCCGTCTGCGGGTTGTGCGCGTGGAGGGGACACCAGGACACGAGGCCTCAGAGCCCCCGTGGCTGCTCGGAACCGGCCTGTGGGCCTCCGTGCTGTGGTCCATTTGTTCATCTGTTCCCTCACGTGGAGGGCCTGTTGCTGCCCCTGTCCTGATGGGCGGGTGGGATGCCGGCCGAGGCCAAGTGAGGTCTGCGTGGATGTGGACGTGGACGTGGACTGGCCGTCTGCGTGGCCTCTGGCCTCTGCTGCCCTGCAGTCCCAGCATGCCTTGGGCTGGAGAAGTCAGCACTGTGTTTGGAGTTGGTGCCTTGCTCCCATGAACCCTGTGACCTTGGGGTTTTCACCCTGTGACCCTGAGCCAATGCGTGTCCCGATCCCAAGTTCCTCCTGTGACCGTGAACTTTTCTGTGAGCCCCGTGATCTCGGTTGAGGGCTTCCATTGCACCCCTGGGAATCTGCCCCAGCTCTGATATTGGAGGACCCCATGCTGCTGGTCCTCCCAGGGCTCTGGCTGGTCCAGTGTCCTCCATCTGTGACCTTGGAAACACGTGAGCTCCTGGCGTGTGTCCAGTGCTGCTGGGGAGCCTCACACCCTTCGGTGGCCCCTCATGGAGACAGGGCTCCTGCACCTGCCTGGAGCCTCAAGTCACCGTCACACTGTCCTCGCCAGGGACATGAGGCCTGCTCCCAGCCCTTCCTGGGGTCCTCCTCCAGCTTGGGGCCTCCATATCCCCATCTTTGGGGTGGGTTGGACCAGGCTGTTCCCAAGTGGCCACCTCCAGTTCTCTAGCTGCCTGGGCTTCCCCGCACAGGTGACCAGGGCCAGGCATGGCTGGACCTCTGCCTGGGTGACATCTTCACAGTAATCACACAGCTGGGGCCAGCTCAGGACCCTGCTGGGCGAGAGGCGCTGTTGAGTGCAGCTCTGTCGTCTGGCAGGATGAGCAGAAGGCCATGACGTGGTTCCACAGGCGTCCTGTGGCCGTCCCACCCTCTGCCTCAGTTTCTCTGGGAATTCTAGAACAGGAACTTCATTCTACGGATATCGCTGTGTCTTAAAGATGGCGCTGTGTGCTCTGACCCCCTTGGAGGGCCCTGAGTGGACATTGCAGGGGTGCAGTCTGGAGTGGAGGGCGCAGAGCAGGACCAAGGTCAGGTGTATTCAGCCCTGGTCTCCCTGGCCCCAGAGTTTGAGAGGCCAGGAGATGCCCTGTGTGATACCGGGGCTTTGGCAGCCTGTCTGGGCTATCTGTACAGCATCATGGGCAGGTGCTGCCGGTGAGACTGAGGGCCCTTCACTGAGTCCACGAGGTCCAGTTTCAAAGAGACACATGTCTGGATTCTCCCCTGTGTGTGACACAGACCCTGAGGGGAGCAGTGTGTATGGTCCAAGGTCAGAGAAGAAGCAGGATTTGAATTCCAGCCTCATGGCATACAGAGCCCTGGGTACACCCGTTCCCTTGCATGGGGACACCCCCGGCTGGTGTTCTCACCTGTGTCGCCGCTGGGAAACTGAGGCACACAGAGGCTGTGGAGCTGGCCCAGAGAGTGTTTTAACCCGGGAGCCTGGCTGATATCTGGTGCTACCTCGGAACAGCCCAGTTTCTGGACCACAGCAGTAGCAGGACAGAAAGTTGGTCGGTCCCCTTTGGGCGTCAGCCTCTTCCTGTCCACCTTGAGGCCTGGTGTTTGCTCCCTGCCCCTGACCCACCCAGGTGAGCTTCCCTGGGAGCCCAGCCAGGGCAGAAATCTTAGAAGGTGGGGGAGGCCAGGGGTCCCCTTGTTCAAAGATGGGGCTCCTAAGTGCTGGGGTGTATTGGCCTGGGAGCCCTCAGGGCACAGCCTAGGAATGGGCAGGTGGCTCACTGGGGCGGATCCCAAGAGGAGGAGGCCAGGGTAGGGAGATGGACTCAGCCCCTTACCTTCCTCCCAGGCTCCTCTGTGAGGCTCCCTAAGAGCCTTGGGGACACATCAGAGCTGTCTGCCTTGGGTGAAGGACAATTTGTACAATGGTCCCACAGGTCAAGGTTAGCGTCTGTAATTCAGCCCTGAGTCTGTGAACACCCTGTGACTCCTGCACCCCTTCTGGGGCAGCCAAGGCAGGAAGCTGGGGGACCCCTGCTGGGTCTTCTGAGGCCTCAGACTTGACAGAGCCACACAGACCTGGGCTGGGTGGCGGCCATGGGGTCCAAGAGCGGTCCAGAGAGTGGCCACGCAACCTCGTGTGTGCGAACGCCGTGCCAGGCCCCACGTGAGGACCTAGGGCAGGTCACTCCCCTGCACCCCTTCCACCCCCAGAGCCCCGCAGTCTGAATTTGGGTCAGACCAAGTGCCCAGGAGACACAGGCTCCCCTCCATCTGCTGCTGAGGGTGGGGCGTGGGATCACTGCTCTGCTGATCTGCCTCACAGTGACCTTAGGTGACTTCACTGTGACCTTGGGTAAGAGTGTGCCACCGTGAGTGACCTCAGAGTAGGACCTGAGCCAACTCACTGGCTTTGGTTGACATCACTGACTTTGGGTGACTTCATTATGTGACCTTGGGTGATACCATTCTGACCTTGGGCCCCCTCACCGTGGCCTTGGATGACCCCGCTGAGACCTGAGCTCCTTATAATATGGAGCTGGGCACTCACCTGGTTAGCGGTGGTGGACGTATGGGGCTGGGCCCAGAGTGGACCCTGCAGCGGGGTCAGTGGGTCCTGACCCTGAGGGAGTAGGAGGAAGGCTGGTGAGGCTGGCTGCAGGTCCAGCCCTCTCTCAGCCACCCCTGTGCACTGTCCCCTTCCTGATAGAATGGACTGGCTTTTCTTTCTTCCCCACTGACCTGAAGACTGACTCTGGGCCAGGTGGCCTGTAGACATTAGGTTCTGGAAGCTTCCCTGCCTGGCTTTTACCCCACTCCTCTATCCTGGCCCCTGTCCTTGCCTTACACCAGCCCCAGGGCTCTTGGGCCAGGGCTGGGGTCCCCAAGTCACTAGAAGAGACCCTGGCCACAGGCTGTTCGGTCAGGTCTGGGCCCTCAGCATTCATGGCCACTGCAATTGACCCTGGATGAGAGCCAGGACCAGTGGCCCCAGAGGTGACAGCAGCGTCCAGGAAAGGACCTGCCACCCTCAACACAACTGGCGTCCACCCCTACCCGCAGACGGGCAGACGAAAAGCCTATGGTTTCTGCAGAATAAAACAGTGACTGTTCCCAAACAGGCCTTTGAGCCGCCAAAAAATGTGGACTATTCCTTATCTGGCCCTCGGCCTGACTTGTGGGCAGTGTTCCTCAGAGGACTGACCGAGGGCCACCCTGCCATGCACCGGGCACCCTCCTTACAGGGCCCATTGCCTGGGGCTCCCATCCCCACTGGGGTGACGGAAGTGGCCCCATGTGCCCCTTTCTGGCTCCGGAACTGGAGTCTGGTGGCCCTGTGTCCTTGAGCAGGGACCTCCATGAGCATTGTGCCACCCGAAAGCCCTATATTGTCCAGCGTGCAGGATGGACACACAGAAACATCTGTCTCCTCTGACTTCCTTCCGGGCAGCACCAGCCAGGGCAAGGAACGGTCATGGCTTCAGCCTCAAGTAGGAGTCAGGACCCCTGGCGTAACCTGGGGACTCTGCACCCCTCAAGAACTTTTCCATCCCGGAGAGAAGGACATGTGGCCACAGGGGACAAACCCAGAGCATGCAGTGGGCAGGGCCAGCCCCGCTGCTCTGTTCTGTCACCACTGCCGGGGTTGCCATTGGGCCTGTGTGTTCCATGGAGTGAGTGTTGGGTTCACCAACCACCCCCTACCATGGGCCTGAGCTGGGGAACCTCATTCCAGCTCTTTCTGTGGGGACTTGCTGCTGTGAGGTGCCTGGTTGGGTTCCCCTGTGGCAGTGAGGAGGCGTGTGGGAAGT